GATGGAAATCTATACAGATTTCCATCCGAACTGACGTCGGAGGACCCACAGAAAGTTTCTATCAGAAACAATGCCTGACATGTTTTGGACATAATCTCGTCTTTGTTTACATTAGCAAGCCTCGCTAACAGTCAGAGCTAACCTGTACCGAAGACCACATATGTTTAAAAAGCAGGAAATAAAAAAGGAACTCTAAACCCGCAAGAGAAAAAGCATTTGAGCTCCATACTGTTTCAGAAATAATCCTTGACGTAGTTTGAATAGGATGGCGTTTTATAACAACCAAATTTAACTTTGTCTCCGGTAGAATTCTGATCAGGCATTAGCTCCGCCTCCTCTTCTTTCTTTTTTTCAAGCTAAGGACCCAAAATCCGCCTTTCTCTAACAGGGCTGCAAAAGAGGGGTATGAGCAGTAAGAGGCATGGCTACAATGGGTGATCTGTTTGGTATTTTGAAAAAAAAACTTCACAGACATGTTTTGTATAGGTATGGCCCTACAATATATTTTTCAAATATAGCATGATAGGTCCACTTTAAGGTAGCATGTATTCCAGCACTGTTTTGTCCGATTGAATTAGTTTTAGATGTGCTTAAAAGCAACTGAGTGTATTAAAATGTTAAGTATCAAACTATATAAAAAGTGCTGCAAAATATGAGAGCAGATTCTCAGAAGTGTGTCCAAAGCAGAAACATGTCTTTTTTTTTCAACCCTGCAAGAGTCGAAATTAGGCAATTTGTAGAGTAGTCAGGCTGTTGCTAAGAGGGAAAACTCTTCGTATTGATCTCATAAAGGTCGATCTGCTCTGAGGTGCTTCCTGTAAAAGTTATTTGATCCGAGCAGGACCAGGACTCTGTGTCCTTTCCAATTAACAATCCCCTGACATCCACACACTGGGGAAACCAGCTGCTGGTGAGCGAACAGCTGGAGCCTGCCCACTTTCTATTCTCTCATTTTCCATAACCATAGCGAGGAGTTGTACTGGATAATCACAGTGCATAACAGTTGATGATGATTATGATGACACGTAATAAAAGTAATTTCATACACCTTCCACATTCTGTCCAACCACCCTCTGTCATTGAATAGTCAAGCTGTTTCTCTCTCTTCAGTCCAGGGGTTTCTAAATAATAGCAACGCTGAATATCTCAGTAATGGGAGCGTGGGCAGTCCCAGCCCCTTTACTTGGAACATTGCCGTATTCCATTAACTCTCTTATAAAGTCACCAATGCAGGAAACAAAGCTGATTTCCTCTCTTTCAAAAAAAACAAAACAACTATGACTCATGCCACAGTCAATCCTCCCTGCACACTTTCTCTATCTATCTCTGCTTTCATTCCTCCCTCCAAATGTGACCTTAAAACACTCTCCCCACATCTCTATCAAACTAATCAAATGATTACAATAGAATAGGTTGCCATGTCCTGCTTCTCTGTTTATCTCCCTCTCATGATGACGCAGCAATGTCATGCAAATGTGTGTTTGCTCAGATAAATGCCATGGGAGCGATGACAGTAGGCTCATCTCACACGAATCTCCCGCCCCGGACACACAAGCACACGGTTTGATTGGCTAGAGCTTGTAGTGGCATATGATTTGATTGGCTGACGCTTCTGTCAAAGCTTCAAAAGTTGAACATTGCTCAACTTTTGAAGCGAGCAAAGCGAGGTGACGTCACGCTTTGCCAAACTGCATTGTGGTTGCGTCAGCCAATCAGCCAATCAAATCATATGCCAGTACAAGCTCTAGCCAATCAAACCGCGTGCTTGTGTGTCCAGGGCGGGAGATTTATATGATTGGTTGTTGGTCGCACGCCAGACACGCCCACCGGCAAGCTTCAACGCGACGCTGCAAACGCACACCACCTCTTTCATAAGAGGCAACAACCGGAAGACAGACTGCGTGATACACCGAGAGAAGAAGAACAGACTGCGTGATATAAACAAACAAACAACAAATAGCATGTGCATTCCATTTTCACTCTACAGCGAGAAGCTCATGGGGCTTTCCCGAATCTGTGTCGAGAGCTGGAGTTAAATGAAATCTCAGATTTGCCTTCTTAATCGTTTGTTTGGGTCCCTCACTTCCGTTTTGCTTCTCATGCACTGATTCGCTAAGCTGAACAGCCAACCGAAGTGATTTCTTTGGCCGACGGCCTTTAGCCGACAGCCTCCCAATTCAACATGTTGAATCGGCGGCGGAAGGTGTCGGCACGGCCGAAAAGACACAACGGTGCGGGACACACCAATATGAGTAGGGCGACAGGACGCCCATCGACGGCCAAAATCGGGTTGATGTGTCAGGGGCTTTAAGGTCCGGACACACCAACCCGATTTTGGAACGCACACGCTATTTGTTGTTTGTTTATATCACGCAGTCTGTTCTTCTTCTCTCGGTGTATCACGCAGTCTGTCTTCCGGTTGTTGCCTCTTTTGAATGACGAATACACACTACCGCCGCCTGCTGCTAAGGAGATTTATTGCCACTCACGCATGCACATTTCGTACGTGCTACTTGGCCGTCGGCTGAAGTCTTTGCGTTGGGTGTTTCTCAATGTCGAGGAGGCTTGCTTGGTAGCACATGTACCTCCGATTCAGTTGCTTCAGAAGCGAGGCAAGAATCCTTCCTAGCCTCGAAAAATGAAGAATTGTGGCTAACAGGTGTGCAGGTGTGCGTCATATGCAAGGCCCCGCCTTAAATGGAGTGCGATTTCTGCCATAGATTTGGAAATTGGTCCGTGCGCAAATCATTGTAAGACCACAGAGTCTACACATGTGCAGCCTCGAAATATCCCGCCACGAAGGACGCCGGCCTCGGTATAATTCCAAGTATCCTGGACATTGGAACAGTCCTTCGGCGGGACTCAATGACGTAGTATCCTTGAAATAGTGGCTCTGGAGCAGCTTTACTCGACATTGAGAAACACCCGGTGTGTTCCAGTGCGACTGTTGGCCAAGACGCAGGAGACATGAGGCGACACAACAGTCGTGTTCCGTCGGGACGTTTTCTTTGGTGTCAGTTTGGTCTGTAGGCCCCTTTATCCTTCGAGAAATCTCTCTCTCTTATTTATTTACTTCTCAGAGTTTCATAGTGTGCTTCTTTATTAAATGAGATTGAAGAACATGTGACTTCTGTGTTTTAACTCTACCAATCATAGTTGGCTCCTGAAAGAACTGCAGCTTATTTAGGTATGGCATTAGTTAGTTACAGGTCTATATTTCACTACATGCATGAAATATATATATTTTCTGACTGCAGTAGATTTTTCTGACTGCAAATATACCAAATAAATATGTATTATATCGCAGTGATGATCTGAATGTCCAATAAAAGATGAGCACAGTAACAGAAAGAGCACATAGTGTTCCGGCACAGGATTCATGGGGTTTCATTTCATCCTCCAAAACAGAAGTTCAATCAAACATTATCCTTGTTATTTGCGATACCAGAACTCGAGGATAAGACTAATTATAAAGCGCAGCATTCACCGTTTACATTTCCAAGTTGCTTTAAAGGCTAGAAGGGTTCTTTGGATATTTTTAACATCATGGTTGCATAATCACCTTAGCAACAACAAGTAATTGCAACACACGAGGGATAAAAAATGTAATTTTCGACCAAAGCAAAGGACACATTTGTGATAGAGGTTATGAGTTAAATAACAGCCAAAATAAATATAATGAAGTGCTTTCTCGTGTTGTTGCATGCAATGATCAACAAGAGATCACGTATGGAAATGTGAGTACAGTTTTGTAATGTTCTGTTTGAATATAACAGAAGTTTCAGTCGCTAACAAGCATTTGAATCCCTAGAACATCACCTACAAGGTATTCATTAGCTTTCATACCATTCACATTCATCAACATGTGTTTAAAATATTTTGTTAATCAATCATTTATTTCCCCTTGTTTTGCTAATTAATATCCTAAAGTAAAAAGTCCATGCTCAACATTGTTAAACAGCTTCTCTTTTTGTGGAGCACTAAGCTGTTCCCTTTGTATTACATTTCTATATTTTGGTTCTCTAAATACCAAAGAAAGGCATCACTTGACAGTCACCTAAAGGGGATTTGTACTACATACAATAAGATAGTACAGTGTTCATTAACATCTTGATAACTGCATAAAGGTAGGAGAGATAAGAGCATATCCAGGGCCGTCCCTCCCTACAGGCCGATCATGCCGACTGCGTGGGGCCTCACCTTCCGGAGGGTGCCTAAACTGAGGCGCAATTATGCGGCGTAATTAGTGTGGCGCGACACGGTGTCGCCGCTGCGAGGCTCCACTAGCACCTCCCCTCCGTAGTCGTCGACGCTCGCGAAACAGAGGGCCTCATCTTATAACTTTGCATGGGGCCTCATGTTGGCCAGGGACGGCCCTGCACATATCCCATTGGTGCGAAAAGGTAGATCATTAGATAAAGGTGAGCATGAGAATCCAAATTGCAATCAAATCTAACTGCTGGAGTTAAGGTATTGGCCACTGACTTTACACATGTACTTTTTAAGTTGAGGATGAGAAATTCAGCATGCGAATGATGTAGGATTAATACAAATGTTTTCAATCATTTTGGGGACACCTAGTGGTTAGTTAGTGCTAAACACTGTTCACAAGAACTCAAGTACTTTTATATTTGCACACATATATAAATATATAAGGTTTGAATTTGGAATCTTTGCTTTTCTCAGAGTCTGAATCTTTTTAGAAATGTAACCTTGAGGGGCCATTCTTTTTTAGTGAATGTAATCATTCCCATTGTTTGTGGAAACACGTCTCACTGAAGAGTTAATTACCAGTGGAAGAAATTTTGTGGTGCTTTTTCCTCTTCAGGGTCATTGAACAGCAGTTCTCTGGCTCCATCTTGTGGCCAAATGGAGTAAGTGCCACTGAAAGTGAAGAGCGGTACTCTGTTTTGCCAGAATCTGGTTTTCCGCCAAGTTGAGTTACACGTCAGTAGGGAACCTGTACTGGTGACTGGACGTGTGCAGTGCGCGTCAGCCGGCTCCCGGATGCACCGAACAGAAACATGGAACGGGTAGTGGTGGAACTACCGATCAACAACGGTGAGATACATGACCAGCTCCACGTCAAACCGCTTTTCTACCACTTATATTAACATCTCTAGAACGGCGTTTGGTGCTTCTCTCGATTCGTGCGCAAATGCTCCTCCTCCTCTGACGCGTGGTCCGGCATTGTACGTGCTGTAGCCTCTGTGTACACGGCTATCAGTGTTTTACAGGCTATTTTCTCCCTTTTCTGTGTGTACATTCGTGTAGCTGCAGATTACCGGTTGCTGGCACTTGTACACAGAGGAGCTCAGCCGTGAGAGAGCTGCTGTCATCTGTCAAACAGCAGTCCTGCAACAACTGAAACTGCTGTCACATTTACCTCTGCACCGAGAACACAGGCCATACTTACTCTCCAACATAACATCTATTAGTCAGCATTTTAAACTTTATTGTCATTGTACAGAGTAGGCCTACTTTAGTATCTGGTTTGTTAGTTATATGTATGGTAGACAGTAATGTAGTTGTAAAATATTCCACAGTTTGTATTAAAGACCTTATGCTATGATTCAGGTAAATAAGAATCAAAGCACTAACATACGCCCAAGTTTAGGACTTGACCTGTAATGTTAATAATAATAATAATCATAACACAATTATTATTATTATTATTATTATTATTATATAATTGTGTGTTTTAACTTACTTTTTAGGAACCAGACCCTTAATGTCAATAATGTACTCTTTTCATTATTTAACTTTACTGTATTTCAAAGTATGACTTTATGCAGTATCTATTCCTAACTTCAGGATTTTCCCTCGCCGGCACCTCCACAGCTCCACGCAAGCGCCAGGTTCGTTTTTCAGCTCGTCATGACATCATCCTTCTGCGAGAGGTCATCGCCCAGAACCCCTTCGCCTCAAAGGAGCCAGGTGAGTCCTGTTTTTAAAAGAACAATCAACAATCAACAACTCTTTAGATGCAGAGAGCTGCAGTTCCTGCAAATAAAATGGGGATACAAACCATATTCATGTAAAACAATAATAGCAACTTTAAGGTTTATTATTACCTAAGTGTGTTCTTTGCTATTTTGTTAAATCATCCAACAATCACACAATAAATCCATCACACAACAGGGACCAATCAATAGGAAAATGTGATGAGCTACAAAGTGAATGGCCCTTTTCTTCTATACTACATATTCATAGTTTTGTAAACTCATTAATTTCAATCAGGACGGATCTGGGCCCGTGTTGGTGAGATCATCACTGCAGCTCTACAAGATGAGAACTTTGAGGTGGACGCCAGGAGGTGCAGAGAGAGGACCATGCTGCTGCTGGACTACTACAAGAAGCAAGACTTCCCCAGTCTGCGCAGGTTGGTCCAGTCGCCAGGAATAAACGTTAATGTTTCCTTAGTAAATATCTGCATGTGTGATGACTTGAAGATGTGAAACAAACTGAAGTTTAATGATTGTGTGCTTTTGGTATGCTCAGATTTGGAACAGAGAGGTTGTACGCTCAAAAGGAAGACCTGCTCCATGAGGTTTTGGAGCTGGAGGCGGAGAAGGGGCTTCTGGCCGGCGGGGAAAACACAAAGTACCAGGTGGGTTTGTTTGCTGAGAAGAGAAGTGAAATCGATGTGACACTACCAGAACAAGAGATGTATCTTTACAGAGGATGCTTTAGTGCCCAAGAGCTGGTTTAGAGGGGCACATCAACTTTATATGTTACACATCACACAGGTTTGAGCGGAAATCCCTTTATATTGCAGCATACAGCAGTAATTCTTAGTTAGTAACATAACATTTTCTCAGCCAAGGACAATTGAGCTCAATTATAATGATTTCAAGGATGACAGGAATATTCAAAAGACAGAATATTTCTTTAAAGTCCAGTGGTTCCAAACCTTTTAAGCTTGTAACCCCTTAAAATGAAGCAATGTCATTGTAAGACCATATTCACGTGGCATATGTAAGTAGTGAGCATCTCATCTGAATAATTGTAAGCGGCCATAAGAAAAAAAATAGCTTGTTTAGAGAAAACCCTCAAGTATAATACAAGTATAGCACTTTTCTCTTATTTTCCTGTCTAGTGGATTACCATTACCATTGATATTATTTTATGCCTCTCTGGGAACCAATGGTAGAGTCAATATTGTCTCAGATGACATATATTACACAACATGTTTTAACTTGCTTCGCCCTTTTTTATTTTAATCCATATATTTGAAACTCACTCCACACATGGTAATTAGAGTTAGGTTGCCCATTATCTGATCAACTATAGGTCAATGCAGCTTTTTTTAAATGTGTATTATTTGTTATTTTCTGATACTGTAATTGGAACTAAGGTTTCACAAGAGTAGTAGGACATTGAAGTCAACGGATATTTGTTATGTTCTCTGTAACTACTTTACCACTTCCCTTTTCTTCCTCTTGGTGGCATTCAGTCACAATTTAACTCCAAATCTGACGATACAGCACTACCACTACCACTAATACTGCTGCTACAACAACTCTAGTATTGACATTACTATAAGAACGTATACGGCTACTGTTGGTAAAAGTTGCTGCTGGCGCTTATAATTCTACTCCTCAATGTTCTTAATGTTATGTTAATGTTAATTTATTTTTAGGACGACGAACTAAGAAAGCGAGCCCTCGAAGAACTAACTCTACCTGAGCAGGACAAACCCAACATCACCATCACACAAACACACACTACAGGTAAAAACTAATTCGGACACCAAGACAGGACAGGAAAGGACCCAAGTCAGGTAACATCATGTCTACAACAGTTAAAAAGCCTGTGTACGCAAGTGTTTGTGTTTCCCATGTGTCCTTCAGAAATTTCTCCCTACCAGCTTCATGGATGTTGTAGTTGTCTGGTCCCTTCAGAAATATGTGCATGTTTACATTATTACTGTCACAACAGAACCAGAAGAGGACCGCGAGGAGATGGCAGAGCTCTCTGCGGCGCCCACAGCTAAGCGGCCCTGCCAGTGCTGCTGCCAGACCTACTCTGAGATCCTCAGCTTCCTGGAGAAACGCTCAGAAGCCGAGCAGCGGCTACGAGAGGAGGAGCTTTCCCTGCGCCGGGAGGAGCTGGAGATTCAAAGGAGTATGATTTTTCTAAAAATATTATCGTATTATTTCAATTCAACACTGTCTTATGGCTTTCCTTTTAAATGTTTTTTTACTTTTAGAGTATCCATAACAAAAAAGTATTACTGGGTACTTTTGATCTAAAATTGGTTGCAGGTGTTTCAGATGAAGTAATAATGATATCAACTGTAACTAAAAGGGGTCAAAAATATCCCGCCTTTTTTTAGTTGTCTTTATTTTTTAGGAGGGGAATTGTTACTAAACTAACACCAAAAAAAACTATTTAAATAATTTTTTATTTCCTTTTTCAAAATCTGAGATATGGGCAGCTAAAGAAAATAGGAACCATTACACTTTAAGAAAGAACATCTCATATATCAATGACAGTGAAGTAATTCAGGAAAATACAATGTCCATTTAAAAGGATCAAAGATTCTCTGAACTGGTATGCCGTCATAATTTTAAATGGCATTGAATCACAGACTTAATTTCCCTTTTTTTGTTCTTAGGTCAAATCAGTCTGGAGAGGGAGCGTCTGGGAGCTGAGAGAAAAGAGAGAGAACGGAGATTTGAGCTGGAGAGCCAGGAGCGGCAGGTCATCTTGGACCTGTTAAAAGAAAAGGTGCTGAAAAGCTGACCAACTGCATTTAATGCAATGTGGGAAAAAACGATGGTTGATTGCTTAAAAGAGGAAGAAACCCTCGGAAAGGGAAGTGAAAACATCAATAATTGTAGGTTGTTAAATGCAGGTCGTCGTAAAATAACCAAATAAAATGGAGGGCAGTAATACAAGATTTGCTGATGACACAACAGCAAAACAAATGTTGTGAGTGTCTGTAGGCACTAACTGTAAGTGTGTTTGGTGCACAAAGTAGCAATCTGCAGACAGTGTTTAAAGCTGCAATATTTGCCAGCCTCACTGAGCTGACCCATATTGATACACACAAACTCCCTTTGTTTTCTTCCTCATGGCATAACCTGTTTAAAGAAATAGAAGTGCTGCAATTGAGTGTCACCTAAGGAGTGGAAGAAAGGTGTGTCGATCGGAATCGGTGAAGCCAAATCTGGCAGACGGGCAGGATCCCCGGGTTGTTGTTATGTATTTTTGTTCACACTGTGATAGACAGCTTTTTGTGGTGCTGAATTGAGGAACAACTAAGGAAAGTTGTTTATTCCTATAGTTGACAATGATGTTAACAGGATGCTCTATCTTTTGAAACCCTTTAGCATTTACTATATCAATTACTTTATTTATGCTTCATTTAGCCACTACTTTTTTTTTTTCAAATAGATTTTTTTTAAATTGAAGTCAAACTAAAGAAAATGTCTCTGACTGGGAATCTACCGCACATTGACATGAAGACACTTTTATACTGCAATTAAAGCCAATAAATGTTCATCCATATTCTATAGATTGTATAAAAACTATAAACGTTTTTTTTAACTGATGTCAATAACTGTTATTTTTGCTATAAGTTAGCTTTGAGACTACTGTGTCCTCAGTTGAATGTGTTACACCCAGGTATAGTTAACTGTCATTAGATACATTTGCAATATTACATAATCTACTATTTTATCACATGTGACTTTCTGTTTATTGTTCATATGAATGTTATTTTTCTTCCAAGTTCTCATAGCATAGCAGATGTTGTATACAATGAAAGAATGTAAAGAAAAAGTTACTACTAATTTCTATTCTGAAAATAAATTAAAAACAAAGCTATGTTTGTGTGGATTCACAATTCTCAATAGCATCTACACTCATTTGCATAATACAAAGTGTGATTGGAAATGTTTTGGTTGGCATTCCATCTTAGACACTTGCCATAGCATTTCATGCGCGATTCAAGAGTAGAGGGCTGTATTGTATGTATCCCTCCACTATATTTATTTTTCAGATTTTACACACAAACATATTATCAGGTAATAGGATGCTTGTTGAAACTGCCTGAGGGTGCAACAAGTAACTTAACACCTCAACTTACTGCCCATATTATATTTTTCCTTAATAATGTACCAATACTGTACATATTAACATTCAAATATATATAATAATACAAAAGGGAATATTGAAATATCTTTCTGATAATATCCAATCCAGTGTTTCACAGTGTTATCACCACTTTTACTGATTTTACCTTTGGGAGTATACTACTTCTTTCTTACTTCTTGGGTGTGTACACTATATTACCTAAACCAAATAATTGCAGTATTACACGCTTTAAATCACTAGCACTATCTGGATATATTTAGGAAAATTAACTCACCAGGACCACATATTTTGGTCGTTGCGCTTTAATTTGAGGTCATACAAATCTCACACACTGATTGGTCAGAAATACATCTAACAGATTCTGTGTTGTTTTGCTTTGGATTCTGATTGGCTCTCTTCAAAGTCACTCCCTCATTTCTTCCACCCAATGAACGTGTGCTCGTGGCGTTTTTCCCCCTGCTGCCACCGCATTGCTACAAAGTTTACAGTATAGCAACAATTGAATGCTAGCAGCGGAGTTTCGAAGTTAATACACTGTAGCAGTGCTAGAGAGAATTCTTGTTACATTTCAGTTCGTCTTCATGGTAACATAAACCGGAGTTTGTGTTCTGGAGACGATAAAAAGTCAGTGACCCGCATGGAAACACAGAGCCCAGCTTCCCTTCTGCTGTAGGGGATTTTTGTGTAGTACTGGTCGATGCGAAAGATAGTTGTTGATTTGCTAACACGAGCACGAGAGTTGCTCCAGCGTTACATGTGGGGCATGTGCGCTTTGTTGTTTTAGTTTATATACATTACAGCTTAACACAGTTTCAGCAAGGTCTATATTTCCTTACTTTAAAGTGCATCTGGTTGAAGTTTAACCAACCAATAGTTTAGGTTTTAGTGTGGAAACTGCTTTTCAGGTAAGCTAATTACGGACTAGTTTTCCGGTTTTGGTGAAACTCAACCAATTACCACGTTGAGTTCAACGCAGTAGGCCTATGCCCATTAGACGTTTTGCTGGTCACAAGTCTTTGTTCCCTTACTCTCAAACCCCCAAGCTTTCGTACGGCTATAGAAAATGAATGTTTCAAGAAGTGGGTACCGTGTCTTTTCTGCTAACTCCTCCACCGCCTGCATCGAGCTGGCCAAGAAGATCACCGAGTAAGTGACGTTTACCTTAAAGTAAAAAAAGGATTATTGTATTTTCATGTCTGTAATGTTGAGGTTTGGCCTGTCTGTGTTACCTGCCGTGTCCCTGACAGTACTCCTGGGAGTCTAGCTGCAGGTGACCCGAGGCCAGTGGGTGTGTATTGTTTTGCATTTATTGCTGTTCAATTAACACACACACACACACACACACACACACACACACACACACAGTGCAAATCGTATGGTTATACCAATTTTTGACAGATTGAGATAGTAGATAGTAGTATTTGCTGTAAATGTTAAATTATGGGGTTATCTTCATTACTTGTCTGATTTCTTACATGCACAAAACCTTACATACCACACACACACACACACACACACACACACACACACACACACACACACACTAGGAGTTGGATTCCTTTGATGGCCTATCTTGCTATTACTAGTAAATCATCTTGTTAATAATCTTGGAATGGACATGATCCAGCTTTAACAGATGAAATGTTGGCACAAACACATCAGCTTTCTCCTGGCATTGTTATGATTCTTTGTTTAAATCCTGAATCATTGTTTCCCTTAAAAGTGTCATGCAAACGCCAATTTCTTCTTGTGTTTTTTCCCAATAAAATCTCCAAGAAGCCATTTCTTTTCCCAAAACCTGTTAACTTTTTTGACAGCTGATTTATAAGTTGCACTGCTCACACGAAAAGTGCTTAGCTTTCTTAGCTTTTACTGCTTTGCAACATTACAGAACATTATTATGGGTGATTATGTTACCATTCTGGGTCCAAGTAGAGCTTCCCTGTTGAGCAAAGGTTGAATAACAACATGCGCACACAGCAAATGTTAATGACTAATGTTCTGTATAGTTACTCATGTAGTGACTACACTGTGTGTAATATCCCCGAAAACTTAAGTCATTATTATTTGTAGGACCACATTTAAGTCCTTGTTGAAAATGAAACATGATTTTTGTCTTCTTTGTCTACTTAATTCTACCATAGCCACTCGATGAAGACATTTTTTTGAATATTTGAATAAGTTTGAGGGATGTAAAAAGGGCGAGGCTACACAGAAGCGCCTGTCTTGATTAACAGGATATAAATGTGTGAACTGGCAGGTAGCCGTCCACTGTCCCCCAAAACCAAGCCCTTTTCATAGTTGGCATTGTTGAATAACTGTTTTTTTTTAAATAAACACCATAATTGTCTGCCTGAGGCTTAGATGTATTTTTGGTGCCTGGGCTCGTTCAGAGTTCGACTTGATGCAACAGGATTTTTCTGCACTAAGAGTCAAAATATCAACAATGCTTTTTGTGGATGTCTGAACAAATGATGATGTTTACACTACTGAACCTCATTAAACCTTGACGTTTTATAGTCAATGGGATGCATTTTAGAAGTTGGCGAATGTACGCTTTGCAGGCCGTATCTTGCACACGCACCCAAAATATCAAACAACTACTTTTTATTTATTTATTAGTCTGTCTTTTATACTGAATATTTTTTTTAATGTTTTGTCTGGTATGTTAAATGATGCGTGTATTGCTAGCTCTAGTTGATGTGTTCAAATGTCTTGTTTTCCAAACCCCAAAAGAAAAAGGTAAAAAAAGAAACACAAAATCACAGCCTCACATTTTAGAAGCTTGAACCAGAGAATGTTTGGTGCTTTTGCTGAAATACATCTGATCAATCAATTAGCACAATAGCTTTTCAGTGAATGTACTAATTCATCAATAGACTAATGATCCATCAAATGTCTTTAATACAAACAGATTATCAGAATGACAATTGTATTTTCTTAAACAAGTCGTTATTATGTGTTTAAAAACCTGCTGTTCGAAAACACAAATACAAAACATTAGTCTAGTACACACTAAATTCACACACTTCACTTCAATTAATGAAAACGTAAAGGGTGTGTTTGTGTTTTAACACGTTGTCCCGTTTGTTTCTTCCCAGACGATTGGGTGTAGAGTTGGGCAAGTCAGTGGTTTATCAAGGGTCAAACTCGGGTAAGGCTGATTTATTTCCTCTTCTCCATAATGCATGTCAGATTAATAAGCTGTGGTTTAGACTTTGCTCTTGAACCTACATGATGTGAATTATTTTTTTTCATTGTTTGTTTTGTTTTCAGAGACCAAAGTGGAAGTACAAGAGTCTGTACGTGGACAAGACATCTTTATCATTCAGACCATTCCCAGGTGAGACAAGATGGATACTTTAGTGTTCTATATTAAGTCATATCATTATGTGTAATATTATGAACCCTCAGAGAAGTTTATGAAAACCTACTGAGGTTTTATTAAGCTTCTTCTAATAAAGTTCATGTTTCGCCCTCTATCAATCTCGTTTCCAGAAGCATTAAGAAGTTGTTCAGCAAAAAGTTAGACATAAAACAACAGACTGAAAAATGTAACAATGGGAATCTAGCAAGCTAAAGACTCACATATTTTTCTTAGGTCATGGTGAAGGCAAAATAATCTTCAATAAAAGTAAATATTGTCCAGAAACACGACTCTAAATGAGCATTTAGCGCTATGTCAGTCTGAGTCTGATGGATGTGTAACACGTCGGCAAGGGCAAATGTCTGCCACCAAGTAGCCAACAAAAATGCAGCTATAAAAGTATGGTTTATTAACACACTGTTTTAAATGTACATGCACCTCCATCTGAATCCCCCTGTAGTTTTACATGGCATAATGAGTATCCTTCACATGACAATGACTGAAGGAGAAATTGTAATGCATTCGCATAACAAATTCGCCATTGAAGTATATGCATTTGTCATATTAGGAAAATAGCTGAAACAGGTTAAACAATGTCTAATTTATGTTCAGTTTCCCTGGTAAGTTTGTCTTTTTATTTCACATTTAAGAATCACGTAGCATACTTTTGCCTCGGAGGTGTAACGCCAAATGATGTTTAACTATGCAGCAAGTGAAGAAGAAAAAAAGCAACATGTTAGTTATTTACTGTGATGAAGGAGGAAGCTCTGAGAGGTAAGCAGAGGTCACAGGTGGAGACACAACTAGTGGATCTCTTGTTTCAGGATGGTAACATGCAGTGTCCTGTTACACCAACAGCTCTTTGCCTGTTTAAAGTAGTGAAACTGTCCTCGTTTAGCCATTCACTTTTGAGGAAGCTGCTTAAGATGTAGTCTAATAAAAGGGCACGTGATTAGGTTACTTTACTTAATTTACAGTAGAGAGGGGGTTGACAATTATTTAGATGAAATGTGATGTGTTCTATGTGTTGACTTGAATGTGTTGTTTCTCAGGGATGTCAACACGGCCATCATGGAGCTGCTGGTTATGGCCTACGCTCTGAAGACTAACTGTGCCAAGAACATCATCGGGGTCATTCCCTACTTTCCCTACAGCAAGCAGTGCAAGATGAGGAAGAGGGGGTCCATCGTCTGCAAGCTGCTAGCATCCATGTTAGCTAAAGCTGGTACAGACTCTGGGTTGTGATTTTATTTTGCCATAATTTAGAAACCAACACATATCTTACAAAATCCATATTGTTGTGTAACACCACAACTCCAGTTGTAACTGACCAGTCATATTTTATTTTGGATTATTTTACCAGACGTAACGTTTGCTCCTTGTAGACTAAAGTATATGTGCAAGTACATTAAAATAATTATTATGTGTGGTTTGTCTAGTGACTAGTCCTGAGGTTTGCTCCATGCTTTAGCTGCAAATAATATATCCACTTAGAGCCCTGTATAAATTAAACACTGTGAAAGTTCTGTTGTATTATTAATGTGTTATGTTGAGGCCAGGAGCTGTATGAAATTGCACCCCACATTATTTAAAACTATTTTTCCCAAGACTTATTACCTACTTATATCTCTATGTCTCCAGGGACAGCTGTTCTTTGTGCTTCAAACACTGCAGACATTTGCTCTGAACTTGAGGCATATGTGTTTTGTGTTGCAGGTCTAACCCACATCATCACCATGGACCTCCACCAGAAAGAGATCCAGGGTTTCTTCAGCTTCCCCGTTGACAACCTGAGAGCTTCCCCCTTCCTCATCCAGTACATCCAGGAGGAGGTGAGGCAGAGTATCACAAAAACCATTGGGTCCTCCTACTTTCCTCCTACTGTATTTGCAGTTATTATTATTATTATGTGCCTTTTCCCCCTTCTACTCCAGTAGGACTCAGATGAGGGTGTTGAACTTTTCCTGGTACATGTGATGTTTTGGTTTTGTTTTGTTTCTTTCCGTTAACTGTCAAGGGGGAACTACGTTTTTGTGTTTCTTTTATTTTCCTGCGATACTGTTATGATTGGCTGTGAATAAGAAAATATGAAGGAGAGACCATATATTTCTATTTATTTATTTATTTTCTAGAAAGGGGCAGGTAATATAGGATTATTTTCTTCTCCCTGCTCCTTTCTGGGTATGGTGTGTTTATAGACATGTTTTGCAAATAATTGTTATACATTAAGTACAAAATGAAATAGTATACAGTGTTTCCCATAGATCTGAAATATACTTGTGGTGGTAGCCTAGAACCGGGGGGGTGCTACTGGAGCACGCTTATGACCTCTGAGTTACTGCAGAGCGCATAAAGCAGATCCGTCACGCGATAGCAGAGCGAACAGGTACAGGAGAGGCAGTTAATGGATCGCAGATCACAACGGATTTTATCTAAATGGGTCGCGAAATATACTTTGGTGGACGTTAATATACCTGGGCGGCCCGCCCAAGTAAAGTCTATGTGTGGGAAACCCTGTAAAACTATCATGTCAGGTCAGCTGTCACTTTTGTATTTTAGCATTGAAAATAATGTCTCTCTCTCCTCAGATCCCAGACTACAGGAATGCCGTAATTGTTGCAAGGTCCCCTTCATCTGCCAAGAGGTAACACGACAGCCCAGTCACTACAATCTCTAGTTGCCTCTCTCTGTTCAACAGGAAGGCGTCACTTCTCCTGCTGTCCATCTTCATTGTCACGTTGTTATTGTGCTTTTGACTTCCCATTCCCACTGTCTGTTTTGCCTGCATATCTGTTTGAACGTGTTGCATTTGTCAGCCGTTGACTCTTGCGTGTGTCCGTCCGTCTCAGAGCTCAGTCCTACGCCGAGAGGCTGCGCCTGGGCCTGGCAGTGATGCACGGAGAAGCCCACCACTCAGAGTTGGACATGCCTGACGGACGGCAATCTCCGCCGCCCATGTCTCGCACCACCCCGGGACACACCGGCCTCGAGCTGCCATGTAAGAAACGCCCCACAGCCAAATCCTGCTGAAGAACACCTGTTTTATGAATGGTTGTGTACGTATTGCTGGTTGTGTGTAAACAAAGTTGACTTTCAGGTTAATGTTGGCTTCAGTGTACATATTCCTCCAAACCTGTTCTTCTTCCATGAGAGGTTCCGCACTACAATGTATGCAAGGGGAAAGCTATATGCTCATCTATACAAACATTTGCAACTGTATTATCCCAAGCATGGATTTTATTCAAAATGGTTCAACTGCAAAACAGGGGAATGTGCCTTTTGTAACAAACTGCATGGTACATGGCCTCTTGGCGCCGGCTGACCTGTCCTGGCCAAATAAAGAGAAACTGCCGGCCAGTGCAGTTCTCCTGGTGTGGGTCGTGGAGAGCTACATGTCTACATTTCCGCCAGATTAGAGAGCTTGATTTTAAAGCTTTGTGCTCATAAAACTGCAACAAGCATGAAGGCCAGCTGCTGTTCGTGTGTCCGAAGCCAAATAAACCATAAGCCCAGGTTGAGTTCACTAAATCGTGAAGCATAACAGATGTCTTGGGATTGTTTTTCTTATTTTAATAGTCCTGATAAAACCCAAATACCTCTGAGTGAGGTCCAGTATCAGGGCTGACCGTGGCTCGCAGCATCAGTCTTCTCTTCAAGCTGCCTTAAATGGCCAGCTTAAGACCGGAGTAATGCCCCTACACACACACACACACACACACACACACACACACACACACACACACACACACACACACACACACACACACACACACACACGTCTTAGGTCTGCCCTTCCGCAGGCGTTGTCGTAGCCAGCTGTGAAATACTGCAGGCATTGACTGACATCGCCCCCTTTCTTTTCCTCGGCTGGATTTATTTCCCCCCTCATCTCATCTTGCCCTGTATTCTCTCTTCTCATCTTCCTCCTTCTCCCCTTCTTGACTTGGAGATATGTTTTATGTCAGCCTTCTCCTCCCCAGCAGGAGCTGGATCGCACTAATTCCAGCCGTCTCTCTCTCTCTCTTTCTGCCTCCATACATGCCTCAATTACGTGACTTGTCAATTCATCCTGACTGCAGCTGCTCTGGGATTTACATCCTTTTCATTTGAAGAATGTTGTGTCATTATTTTTGCTCAGTATGGTTCTGTTGCTGTATGTTTAATTGTATGTTAATACTTTCTCTTCCATCCTGTCTTTAGCTGGCGGAGAGAGGAGACGTCAATCTTCATATCCTGGCTTAGAGCTCCCAAGTAGGATCATAACGCTTGAATCCATTCGTGCTTCCTTCTGATGCCTCCCTCGCATGGAATAACTGAATGAGTTGCTAAGAGCTTCCAATTAATTTCACATCTAAACATTCAAAAATCAAAGTGGCGGTGATCCGATGAAAGTGGTTACAGTTACATTATGCCGGTCCCATCGTTAGAAATCAAAATCAAAGATAACTTTTTCTTAGCCAGCACATTTCATCAACAAATCTTTTCTATTAATGACTGTTCTGATGTTTTTTATTTGTAACTAGTTTTGAAAACAGAATGAGGAAATGAAGCACTCTAAACATGGCGGGCCCATGTTTATCCAGGCTACATACAAGAATGATGCCATCATGTTGCTGTTTTGATTGCCACGGTGTCCACGGCTTTTTACGTATTTCTCTTATCAAGGGAAAGGGAAAAAACATGTTTCCATCTTTTTAAAAGTAGTCTTTCTGTCCTGAAACACTACGGCATACTTGGATCAGTGCAATGATAATTGTTGGAAGCCCTCAGTCTCATACAGATCTCAGTTGAAATGAATTCAGAAATCAAGAATAATGATTATTATTATATGACATGGATGATTTAAGTCACGTTATTTTAGTCCCTGCAGACGTGTAATCCTTAAAAAACGATTACTTAATAAATTGCCTAGTAGATTTAGGTTATCAAATTCCATTTAACTCGGCACTCTGATCAGTGTGAACTCCAAATTGTCTCACCAATTGCTTCACAAGACATCATGGCAATGATCATACCAATGTCTGAAATTCTTGATGTGTTTTTAAAATCCTGCTCATGTTTCTAAATCTTTTTTGCTTGATGCTGTTTGTTGTGACTCAGAAACAGTTTGATTCTCAATTGTTTCAAAAACTAAATCCTTGTAATTGGATTGTAGTTGCTTTCCTTCCTTTCTTTCCCACGTCTGTAACTGTTAAAAACCTTTCATATTTTAGATTCTGCACAGATGCCTTGGTCTTGTAATGGATTGGGGAACTGAGCTCACAATGTGCCCTGATGTTGTTTGGAAGAAGCTTGTTGGCGTGGTCAGAGCCTCAGTGTGCGGGACCCTCAAAGGCAGATGTGACAGGTTCTAGACCAGGATCAACAAATATTTGAAACCCCTTCAAGTACTTGTTATATTTAAATATGCATGCAGGGTTGATAGACTTCAAATTGGGGGGCATTAGACACATCATTGTATTGGCAACATCAATACTCTAAAGTGTCAAAAATGGTATTTGACTTGCTTCCAAATCATCTTTGATCCTGGTCAGTGGTTTCTAAAAGAGTCTCTGCTACACCCACTGGTCCATTTACTGCTACAGCAAAGCAACCATCATCTAAATCCATTTGAGTCTTGATTCAAATTCAGCACCAATTTCTCCCACAGATAACTTTGCCTCAAAGCTCTTGAGTGGACTGCAGTCATTGAGTTGGTGCTCTGGTAGCTGGTAGCTGGAAGCTTGCTGGGGTAGAGCGTTTGCATGATGTTTGCAGGTTTTTAAACCCAATCTTCCTTAAATGAACCTGACCTCAATGATCTGTTCCTGATTGGTGTTGCAGGATAGATCTCACTTCCTTTCCTCTTTTAAGTAACATTCCTTTATGTGTCTTTCAGTAATGATGGCGAAGGAGAAGCCCCCCATCACTGTTGTTGGAGACGTGGGAGGCAGAATTGCCATCATTGTTGTAAGACCTTAAAATGTTATTGTATTGTACAGTGTAAGAGCGTTTTGCATATTAATCCTTCAAAATGAGGTATTATACAAAATATGTGACAGTTGTGTGGGGTTCAGTGAGTACATTGCTTCTAATGAGGGGGAGATTACCACAACATATCGCAGAAAGACCAAGTATGTGTAACAGTTACAGTATATATATTTGTTTGACCTTATCAGTCATGTCACTGTCACCCACTTAATGACAACTTGAATCTTTACATTCATATTCCAGCAATGTAAATATATGCATTGTATTTATTGCTTCTTAATTTGTTTCACTCTTCATTGTGTGATGCCTGACCCATTATCTGTGTACCTTATCTCAGGATGACATCATCGATGATGTGGAGGACTTTGTTGCCACAGCAGAAATCCTCAAGGAGAGGGGAGCCTACAAGATCTACATCATGGCGACACACGGCCTGCTGTCTGCTGACGCACCCAGACTCCTGGAGGACTCCGCCATCGATGAGGTAAAATCCTGAGCGGGTCTTATCACTGAAGTTTACATTCTAAAGTGCTTGAGAAATGTATGTGGATTTAAAAAATAAGGACAACATTGACCTAGATTCAGTAAATGTTATTAATTAATTTGGTACAAATCCAATGCTTTCCCATCACTCCAGAACATATACACACTACAGATCAGCATATTGCCTTCGGCCTCAAAAGTGAATTAAAATGCTAAATCAACTCTGCAAATAACTTTCACTCTTTTGCTTATATTGATTTTCTTTTTGAAACAAAGGCAAATGTTTTGTGATGTATCCCTCCATATGTATTCATAATCAATATATGACATTTGATGAGCATGTCTTGATTGTCTCAGCAAGAGAAAAGTTCCATTCCTCATATCACAAACCAGATGACAGACTGACTTGAACAGTGGAACATCCTCTTTATTTGTCACTGAGCTGTTGCTTTGCGCCTCCAGGTGGTGGTGACCAACACCGTGCCTCACGAGGTGCAGAAGCTTCAGTGTCCAAAAATCAAGACTGTGGACGTCAGTATGATCCTGGCTGAGGCCATCCGCCGCACCCACAACGGAGAGTCCATGGCTTATCTGTTCCGCAACATCGCTGTGGATGACTGAGGCAACACACACACACTTGCATTTACATTCCAGCACACACACACACAGATGACCAAGATTAATGCGTTTTTTCTTTAACCTGTTGTTCTTGTTTGTTTTACGGATAAAATGTTGGCAGAAACTGACTGTATTCACTGCGTTAGACAAGTCAAACTCTACTCTGATAAGATACATAATGGGACTGTACACGCAATGCAAACTGTTTCACTTCACTAACACACGCTTCCCACCATCTGAAAACATATATAGCACAACGTAATGTATCACGTGCATCCTCTCAGTCAGCTGAAGAATTTGGCAAATAAAACTATTATTCTTGGGCGAATGACCTTTTTCTCTTTTTTTATTTTATCATATGGATTTAAAATGACAAACACTTGGGTATACAGTACATGAAAGTAGCACAGGTGGCAGTAAGACACATATAGTTTGCATTCTTCTTTGGAAGTGTGAAGATATTTGTGGAACTGTCAGAAATGTGCAGTTCAGTGGGTTCACGCCTGAGCCGAAGCTTTCAGTAGCAGTTTCAGTCAGAGCTAAGGCTGCTTGCTTTATGAAGCATGGAGTCACGTCACACATCATCCTGCAGTGTTCAGACACAGTTAGATGGAAATGCTTAACTTAAAGAGTTTGCATTGCATGATGAGTTTTGTCATTTTACGGTTGCAGCAGATGCACTAAAGGACATACAGTACAGAAGTTATAAGGAAGTATGGTGGAGGAAACGTTTTGTGTAACGCAGCCAGGGCTCCAGGTTTGATAGTCAAATAAATCCTACATGTGTCTAACAGAATGAAAATGAACCTTTTGCCTTGTAAAATAATTAGATGGTGGATAATATTTAAAGCTTGATGCAGAAGGTAATCAATTATAGTCATTATTCTCTAATACTATGTGTACACAATATGTTATTGACATTAACAACATACTATTAAATAGTCAAATTATATTTTGATTACTTTTTTTTCCAAATGTAAGTTCTGACTGGAATATAATTCCTACTTTATTCATAATAATAGAAGATGACTAATACACAAATCAAATAGAACACAAACAAATATAAATATTACACATTGACACATGCCCCACTAAGACTCAGCCAGAGTTAAAATAGTAATGACACATTTTTAAGCTATTTTTGACTCTTCCCCAGAAGCAGGAAACACTTACTACTTAGTTTAACGCAGAATCTACTGACATTTAACCACACACTCTTCAATAATCCTGCTGGTTTCTGTCCAGGACCCTGAACTTGTTCTAAACGCCTCAGAGTCTCTTATTCTGCTGAGGAGCTTTGACCAAGTCCAGGGGCAAAGACATCTGAGAAAATGAGACATAAAATGTAAATGGCTTCCATTACTGCAGCTTAAATCTGACCGTTAAATGCTAATAACAGTACTACTAAAGTTGTGTTTGTAGAGTGTCCATAAATCCTCCAAATCTCCATCTCGAATATAAATGAAAGTAGAAGTCGAGATAACAAATCCACACACCTGCGTGAGTGAAGAGCCTCTACACCTCCTTCCCTTTGCATCTGAACATGAGACGAGAGCGGAAGAATGTTTAAATGTGGACTGAAAGAGGAACTGTCCGCAAACGTTTACCAGGCCACTTCCTCAAATTGGAACAGGAAACTTTGTTCAATCTTATCTGATGGAATGGAGTGGGGGGGGGGGTGGCTGTGCTTCAACCTGAGCACTTCAACTGTCTCCGCTCTACAGGTTCATTTAGGGGAACCATGCACAGCTTTTTCAGGAACTGCACCATGATCCGTTTTGTGTTGGAGTTCTGCTGAACTATTTCATATTCAAATGTTTCCACGCTTCTTTTTGCTTAACTTTGACTGCTGTCCTTTCAGGCACTGAGCCAGTTAAACTGCTTCTTTAATTTGGATGTCACACCTGCTTTCACATGAAGTTAAAGCGGTGTTGAAAGCATTTGCGATATTATCAATGATGTTTTAAACGCTTTCAGGTTCAGAGAGGCCATCTGCTACACAATAGACTTCTTCAAAAGCTTGGAACATGCTTTTCAGTCAGTCCAATCACTACTGATTCATTATGGACGATAGCATGATCTTCTTAATTTCTTTGGTTATTAGATCGCTGATTTAACTAATGAGGCTATGCAGTGACGTCTGTATTCTACAAGATGAATAAGGTAAAAACGAAAGCATTTCATACCTGACGTACACTAAGCTATTACTACAGTAGTTTCAGTGGATGTAATGTATGTGTTGCATCAACAGATGGCGACAGAGATCTTGTAATACTGTAGGATGCGGACGGTTGAGAAATGTAAAGCTCCAACTCTGGATTTCAGTCCACTTGATACAATCATTTACTAGTTGATGTCACTTATATTATTTCAGCTAATATATAAAAAAAACAGGGATTAAATCTCCTGGCACTTTGGTTTATTTGGTCCCATTTTAAGACTCAATTGATGCAATGGAGCAGAAAGTGAATGTGCTGGGACCCAACCCCACAATAATCTATATTCACAGTTCTCTAACACGTGCATTGCATTGACATGTAGATTCTTCTAATCTTTACTGTCATTTATTTCATTGTGTCTTCCTGCTTCTGCCTGAAAGGACATCAGAACATCTGTTGCCCTGGGAAATCTGTTTGCTCACACACATTTTGAATCGAAAGTGACTTCTGCCCTCTGCAGAAATCTCCTACTGATGAAAAACGCAGCTCTTAAATGTATTCTGAAAATTCAGTTTTGTGTAAGTCAGGATATTAATCAAAAATATTTAAGTTTGATGAGATAACTGTCAAAATGACGGCAGTCCTACAATACAGTACTTTATATATATATATATAATATAAGTGCAACATGTTCATGACCTTGAGGTTTATTATTCATGTTGTGTCTTTATTCTATATAACGTGATCCTGATTTCTTTAAAGAAATTATATTTTGAGGGATTAAATGTTGATTTATCATTTACTCCTAAAAAAACGTACCTCCTTCACAGAATGATTTAGTTAATACTGAACTATTTTCCAATGCCATTACATAGAACCTACACATCTATACATTCCAAACAACAACATTCACTTTCTTTGTGCTTATATCTTTTTATTGCACATTTAGATCCACATTCAACATGCATTTGTCAAATAAACAGCAACAAATAATAACATTGTGAGAATATACCATGGTAAAAAACAAAAAACCTTAAAACATCCTTTTGAATGGTAATTTAAAAATAAGAAGTGCATTAACCGTTTACATTTGCATTTTACAACATTTAAAAAACAAATATTATCAATGGCAAATTGAGATTGAATACAACAACTGTAAACATAATGTGCTACATATATTGAATTGCTAAATTTTAAACAATTTACTTGAAACGTACAACTTATGCAAGTTAAACAACATGCTTTCTCTCTGTAAAAAGTGTGTTAGCAACAGTCCAAACCTTGATGTAAGTGAACATTTTAATTCAAAATCCATGAGGGATACATTGATCTACACACCAGCAGCATGTCACCAAATAAGCTGCAACAACATTACATTGAGTAAAGAACTGAGTGATAAACACAGCTTCCATCTTTCCACTGGCAGTCTGATCAGCCTTCATACCGTTCACCTCCTCAGTATCTTTTCCTCTTTTTATCGTGACCCCTGAACAAAGTCCTTGCCAGTCAAAGATCACTAATTTCATTCTCTTTGGTCTCCACCGACTGAAGTCCAAGCTTGATTCTTTTTCTCTGGCCAGCAGCATTTGACTAGTGCTCTCGTCTCTTGGCCCTCCATGAAACAAAACGGCACTTCCCCTCTCTCTGTCATTATGACAAAATACAGCTGTTGGTTTTGTTCATGGGCGGCCGGAAGTTGGTGTCTTTGGGGAAAGTCTCCCGGCGTCTTCTCAGCGCGGGGCTGATGCGGCAGGGGAGGTTGGCCTGCTGCAGGAGCTCCTTGAACACCTCCACCACATTGGCGTTTTCCTTTGCTGAAGCTTCCAGATAACTGTTGTTCCAATCCATCTCCACGGTGGACAGCACGTCCTCATTGGACACCTGACGCTCCTTCACCCGGTCCACCTTGTTCCCCACCACCACGATGGGTGTGTACTTGTCCTCCTTGATCTCCAGAATCTCATCTCGGAGTATCTTGACAGCCTCCAGTGACTCGGGGTCGTCCACGGCGTACACCAGTGCGAAGGCGTCGCTGTTTTGGATGGAGAGCTTGCGCATGGCGGGGAAGGAGTAGCTGCCACTGGTGTCCAGGATCTCCACGGAGATCTTCACGCCACCAATGTCATACTCCTTACTGTGCATCTCCTCCACTGTGCGCTTGTGTTTGGGTTCGAATGTGTCTTCGAGGAAGCGTTGGATCAGGGCTGTCTTTCCCACTCCTGCTGCTCCCAGAAATACCAGGCGCACGTGGGTCTTCTCCTTCACCTCCAGAGACATGCTGCTTTTTTTGGACTTTTTATTTGAGAGCAAAAATGAGGAAAGAAATGTCCCAAAAACTGTCTCAGTTTACTCACTTGCTTTCACTGTTTGGTACAATTGCTGTAACACTGCAAATGTAAACACCTGTTATAGATTTCTACCTTTTTTTAAATAGCCTTCCTTGAAATTCTCCCCTTCTGCAGTTTCTTGTGATTGTTCTCCGTGAGCTCCTTTCTTTGCTTTGTTTCACCTGTCAGGGGCTCTCTGTTAAAGCTCCTCAAAGTTGCTCATTGAATGCTTCTCTGGGTCTGATCCCGCTCGCTGCCTTTTATGTCTGTTTTGGTGAGAGAGCTTCCATGCCCTCCTGCAGCTGCGGCCAATCAGCAGCAGGCACCCTGTTGAAGTGTAACATCCAGGCAACCAATGTAGCGTGGCGGATTCAGGGGGAGAAAGGAGGAGAGATCTGAAAACACGGCAACCAGAGTGAGGAATAACAGATTATTATCAGAAAATCTTATGGAATTACTGGTCCTATTTAGATTGTCTTGCAACAAAGGGTCCAGTATACGGTCAGGTCCATCTGGCTCTTGTGGTTTGATACATTAATCCTGTGGTTTCTCTTTATGAGACAGAATCATCCCATAAATATGAATTCTTTGTTAAACATGTGTCATTAAAAACATAAATCTTTATTTGTTTTTATTAATTGTGCAATTTATGAGGCTAATCTTTAAGCCGGACTTGAAACATATACATTTTTCAAAAACAAGGCATTTCCAGAAGTGTCCAAAAATTCCTAACATAAGATATTAAAGGCATTCAAATTACACATAAAATGAACACGAAGCATAAAATAACTATGCAAATTAGATGAATAGATTTACTGAAATAAATGCATAGTCCAGTGCAACATACGAATGGAAAGTCCCATTTTAGATTTATTTAAAGTGGCAAAAAGTAAAGTTATAAGCCTTGATTTAAGAAAAATTCTGGTCGTTTTGGGGGAATTTTAAAAGGTTGTCAAAGTGGACGTACAGAAATGTGATTATAACTGACATTAGCATTTTTAAAGGATTTTTTTTTTGACACTTGGATGGGGTTATAAAACACCTTAAATGAAATGCTCCACTTTCTTGTTGACAGTAAATCTCGCAGGAGCAGGAGAAAAATGATTGTGCCACTGAGCTATCTACTGGCAACCAAATAGCTTAAGTGCACGCAGCTGGAATTAGTGGTGAATGTATCCCTTGGGGGTAGCGTGGTGTTAATTCCCAATACATTAACATACTCTCCTCAGGCTAATGACATTTTAGTTATGCAGCTTATAGGCAGAGCAGCTCACATTAGTTCAGCTACACGTGGCGATGTGTGACTGAAACACCTTCAGCTCTCTTTGGTGTCCAATTAGATGTGATGCACTGTCTGTAACTGTCGAATCCTACCTTCCTCCAGTTTGTCAGTTTGTCCTAGAGGAGTGAGTCTGACTCGTGATCGTTCTAAATTTCCCCTGGGACTCTACAGGCTGTGCCTCTGCCTGCCTTGTTAAGTTAGGCAAAAACATGGAACAACGATGAGCTCCCCCCGTACCAGCAACACAGACTGTTAATATGTTCTTATAAGCTGTCTTCTCAGGGGACCGCTGTACCTGTTTCCAACTGAAATCCATCAACTTCAAACCAGTGCAAAGACAAAACAAAAATGACTTCTCACGTGAAATAATCACTGATCGTGAATTTAGGTTTTCAGGGCCCTTCAGTACACTTAGCCAATAAAACATACTTTAACCTAAGTACAATTTGGGTTTTTACTTGTAGGGATTATAGTTTCCATTGTGTTGTTTTGCTGTTGAAAAACCAAACAATTTGTTGATTGTTGATGATTAATCACATGGTGTGGCATGTTATGTATAGGGTGTATGCCTGTGAGATCAGTGAGTACTGTTTTTCATTTGAACAATTACAGATAAGAACCAATCCATAGACCCTCCAGAAAAACGCGATTCTGCGATCGCAGAATTTACCGCATAATCAGCAAAATGGCACAGATTTTTAAAAGGCCGCATATTTATCAAAAGGCCGCATAATCCCTGCATCTTTCCACACAAAGTTGAGGGGAAAAAAGGGAATTTGACGTCAATTAGTGATGATGATGACGCGACGTCATCAGCTCGCGCATCACAGAAGGTAAACAACACCGTAGAGTGAACGTGTGGAACTCACACGACGAACATTTCTGCTAAAGACCGGGCAAAGCAGTACCCCGATGTCTTTCACGAAAGTGGGGGGAAACTATTCTGCACCCCGTGCAACTGTGTGTTGGAGCATAAGTCTTAGAGAAAATAGACGGTGACAACCCACTTTGATTCAAGTAAAATAGCCATATTGCTTTTACACTAAATAAACATTGAATGTGTTTAATTGAATAGGAAAGGGGTTTAACGTTAGTGGCAGGTTGTGTGTGAGAAATATGACAGCCCAATATTTAAAAAAAAATCTATTCTTTTTCGCAAAGTTCTGCATATTTCACGCATAAAATCACATAAAAACCCTGCATGTTTAATCGCATAATCAAGGATTTTTGCCCACGTTTTTCTGGAGGGTCTAATCCATTGTGGCATGAACTGCATGCCCAAATAATAAATGTGTACGTGAAAGAGTGCCTCAAAAAACACCATCTGCACATCCGAGAGCTGAATATAAAATAAAAAGTGGGCCGTGTGCCATTATTTGTTTCACCAAGACATCTTTTTGTATTTCTATTTATGGCCACCCTGCCAGATGGCATTAACTTTTGGAAGGAATCAGAGGCCTCTAATGTGTGCTAAGATGAAACACTGTTGTGTGCCATTGCGCATAATAAGAATATCATTTCTAGCCGAATCCTTTGCTGTAAAAAACATGTATTTTAATGTATTTATTTATTTATTCACAGGCTGTATTGATTTCAGTTCCAAGCCTTACATAAATCGGTGTTTTGGATCGAGGGATAGCTTTATATGTTTTATCCCCTGATCATGATATAACCGATAAAAGAGAGCAATGACCGGCTCTGCTTTGTTTTCATCTATTCAGTTTCTAATGCCTGTTCAGCGGGTTGCTCTGCCTACGTGACCTATGTCGTGACACTGTTGTACAGAAAGTGCCATTGTGTGTGCTTTTTTATGCACAGGCAATCATGCTCAAGCAGTTTCTCCTTTTCCTCCCATTCTTTTTAGACAGTATAGACAAGTTGTGTAAAGTATCTTTCATTGAGTGTGATGTTTGGTTCACATATTGACGATTACCATGGCATTTAAGTGTCTAAATATTGATATCGTGTACATTATACACATACAGTATGATAATAAGGATAGTCTTTTTTAAAGAGGCCTTGGATGGATTTTTCAGTTATTAGTAAATCTGGTTGCCTTTTCACAATTCATTAGAGTAATTGTTCACATCAACATGCATCAAAACACCAAGAGTCCTCATTTAACCCTTCTTGTAAGAGCTGATATGAAGGTGAAGTCGCATTAAGGGCAACATTTATATTTAGCACCTGTCACATTTCAACATCATCATCTTGTGGCATCATCTTGACAGGATGACAGTGGAGTGCACATGTTTCCCACACAAGAGTGGATCCGTCAATCAGGCCATGGGGCGGGGACACAGACCAGTCAAGCACCATTCCTCAGAGTCACTAGGAAATCTACTTCAAATAAAGGCTAATACTAATCCACTTTCTCTGATTGAAAGACACATTTGGGACTAGTGCATTCAAATATCAGACTGAGACTTGAGGTTCTACCAAACAAAAGCTATAAATTACATTCATTATACGACTTTGTCAGTATTTGAAAAAAGAAAAACACAGGTAATACGTGGAGGAAAAAACTGCAGCAACACTAAAGCGACAGGAGGGAAATGGTGCTACTAAAATCGAAGGCCAGTTGATCCTACTAAAAACTCAAAGCAGAAACAGATCATTTTGCCCCTAAGGTCTCAAAGTTGTATAACTGTTGGTGCTGCTGTGATAAAACACATAGCAAACAAAGTGCAATATACACATTCACAACACATTTACTGTTAGTGTATTTTGATATGAAACATGAACTATCCTTGGATGTTAAAATAGCCTAGTACGCTGCCCTGTTGCACATAGGCGGCGCCAAGGGGGCGCTAGGGGGTGCTGCAGCTCCCCCTAGGATAGCCATAGCACCCCTAAGCACCCCCAAGAAATGTATGTGTCTTTTTTTATTTTAATGTGTGAAATTCAAAATTAGAAAAATGATTGATTCGAAAATAATATGCTACAGTACATGTACTTCTTGCATACCAGCTGGTGTGCGGTAGCTAATAGCTTGATGCTAACACTCTCAGGTAGTCATTTTATCATATTATAGTACAAATTATGGTGAGGTAATAACCTCTGGCTTTACCTTTTGGGATTGGCAAAATGGCGACACTGTATTGCTGAACAAATATGTTCAACTAGTTTGTATTGGCAAACATTCCTGCTAACTTATTGATGGAGATGTTAGCGCTTGCTCCAACATTGTCATCCAGTGTGAATATAATACTGATAGAAATCTATTAAGGACAAACATCAACAGATGATCTCCATGGTAAAGGTTTTGTGCTGTTTAGAAATGGTTGCACATGAGCTAAAGCAGATCAGAGCTAAAGCTACAATGGTACAACTCACGCATATCATGGCAGCCTCCTGTTGCCACTGTAAAACATGTAGCTGTAACACTGGGTTGGTATGGTGTTTGTGCATATTCCAAATGGCCTTCCAGTAAGCCAGTGTTGGTTCATCCTCCCTTGTTGAAACAAATGGAGTCGTACATGTACAGTAGGTCAGTAAATAGTGAGTAGTAAATGGGAAGAATGATACCATCTTTATGGTTGTGTTTTGACTTTATGGTTGCACAGCTGGCTTATGTACCCAGGCCATGTATTTCATGACTTCCTTAAGTAGAAACTAATCATATTTTCTTTCGTTCTTTTGGAAGAGAAACGCATCATTTCAAGAGTTAAGTAATAATAATAATAAAGTGTATTTGTAAAGCACCTTTCATTGCTAAAAGCAATCCCAAAGTGCTACAGGAGGCATAATAGAAACAAACAAAATAAACAAAAGTTTAATCAAAGGCTTTTTTTAAAGAAAGGTTTTTAGGCCTTAGCCTAAGGTTCCTAAGATAATAAGGATCTTAGATAATCTAATAATGATAATTCATTTGAATAAGTATAATTCATTCATTTAATTAATGATATTCAATGATAATAAGGTGAGAAAGTACAACCACATCACACCCGTTCTTTATTCCCTCCACTGTCAGTGGTCTGGGGAGTCCTCAGGTGGTCTGGGGAGTCCTCAGGTGGTCTGGGAGAGAATTCCACAGGTGAGGAGCAGCTGCACAGAAAGCCCGATCCCCCATTGTGCAGAGTTTGGTCCTCGGGGGGGCGAAGCGGATGGTTTGTTGTGGAACGGAGGTTGCGTGTGGAGGTTTGTGATGTGAGTAGTTCTTTGAGATATGAAGAGCATTCCCGTGGATGCACTGACGGGTGAGGAGTGCAATCTTGTATTCGATCCTGAATGAGACAGGAAGCCAGTGGAGGGAATAAAGAACGGGTGTGATGTGGTTGTACTTTCTCACCCTCATCAGGATCCTAGCGGCACTGTTCTGTATGTATTGGTCATAAGTCATAAATACACAATTAGTTTATGAAAAAAAAAACAGCATTGTTATTGTACTGGGGAAGGAAGCTTGTAGCCTGTTTAAACACACTGTAGTGGAAGTTTTAACGATGGACAGATTGTCTGCCAGGATATGTTCAGTCTAATCATCGTTCTGAATAGGCAACCCTCCCCCCCAACTCCCCTTGTCTCTTTGTCAGTGCACAGATAGACATGCAGTGATAATGGCTGCCAGACACAAAGCTAAGAGAGAGAGGACGTTTCCCCAGCTTCTCTTGTTGCTGTCAAATACATCACTGCAAATAATGTGATATTGTTATGTGCACTATTTTCTCATGCCTATTTGTATACTTTGGCTTGGCTAATCATGGTATTAACAAGACCAATGATGATGTGTGTGACCCAATTTCCTTTGTGGACCAAGGACAGTATCTGCTCAATGAGCCTGATTCTGAAGGATACGCCTGGTGAAAAACAAGACACACAATACTTATATATTTATATTGAAATTTGATATTGTTTTCTTCTGCCACATACAGTACTTATTTTGTTGTTCAAAAACTAGTTAGGACACATCAATGAGCCACATAGCATTTCTTTCATTATGATGAAAATGGTTAGGCTATTTTGAGTCAATACCACATAAACCTTCCTGCTGTTGATAATACTCAGTGTACTAATCCGCGGCTGAAAATAGTCCTCAACCAATGCACTTTTAACTCCCAATTAATAATGTTTGCTAAAAACTAAAAGTCCCAATTGCCACCAAGGAAATTGCTTTATTAAATATGGAAATGTACAATTGTGACATAAAGGAGGTACAGTATGTGTTCAATAGGAACCTACGGGAATGGGCCATTGACTATAGTCTTTGTCTGTGTTGACTAATTACAGCATTTAATCGTTTTATGGAGTTAAAGTGCATCTGATAATCTACTCTCAGTGGCCTTTAAGCTGCCTACCAACTAAACTACATTTTCCAAGTGCAACACCATGTTTTACTTTTCCATCCTTCTTCCTTTTCCCTTCTCATTTGGCTGAATCAAGTCAATATAGGAAATGTTTGCATGTTTCCTAACTGCATTGTAATTCAGGACAAAGCACATCTCTACAGTCATTTTCAATGCACTCCAACTGTTGCTCTCCTGTTCTCAAAACACTCTTAAGCAGATGAGGGTTGTTTCCTGAGGACATTTGTATCTTTTAAGCCTCAGTTGCTCAGCTATTTAGGACATTACATTTTGGGGCTAACATTGGTTTTCTCTCCAGAGTGCACCTGTCAGTTTTTGTGGCAAGCAATCACAAAAACCCTGTATTTAGTGTTTAGCCCTTATGCATTACAAACAATGGACTAGAAACAATGATTCAAAAACACCAAAATATAACATCAAATCTAAAGCCAAGAGCAGTTCTTGCTTCAGAGATCATTTGCAGAAATTAATAATATGCACAATGCAGAGATCATAGTAGAGGATGGGGGTTCTGGAAAAGCTGTGTGAAAGAAGTTGTTAAATTATTCAAACCGTCTATAACTCCCATAATTGACGGTTAGGGAATTAGAAATTAGAATTGTCAGAGCAATCGAACGTGTTGAGTGACAGCATCTGGGGGCATTGAGTATTCATATCCTAATTGGATTTAAAATGACTAATTACTCAAGTCAAGTTAGGGCTTATTACGTTGTCTCTAATGTGAAATGTATTTATTTAGCGATTAAGTCATTATAATACTTGGCAGGGCAAATAGGTTTTTAAAAAAAATAAATAGATGTCTGTAATATGTTTAGGGTTATAAGTCAATAATTTCACACCCCACAAGCACTGCACATTTGGGGTGAAAGCGTCCTTTAATGATGTCCTTACAAATAAAATGTACTTTCTTGTTGACCGTTTTAACCCAGGAAGTCCTTAACTCCAGATTCACGACTCACTCACTTGTTCGTTCAACTGCTGTCAGGATGTGATTCTACTAAAAGCTTCCTGTGTCATTATGCTTTTAGGGTTGCCGTAAAACTACAGTCATTATCAGTCATACCACATTAGCATATTTAATGGAAAGCTCAAATGGTAGGGCCATATTCAAATATTAAGGGACACTTTATCTCTCATAATCATGCTTAAAATGTCAACAGGACGCAAGTAAGCGCAAACCACTTGAGCAGTCAGCTCCACGTCATGACTCACTTCCATAAGTGTGAAGTATCGTGCTCTATAATCAATCTGTCTGTTGAGCAGTGGCTCAGTGATGAGACGTTTTAGGGTAAAGGACTTTGGAAGCTTGTTTAAAACGAAAATATATGTCTGGTCTCACAAATAAAAATAATACAGTATCTTATATGAAATGTTTGAATTACCCAATTTCACAAATGTATTTGCCATTCTTTGGTCATTTAAATACGTCTACTTAATCATATCATTATATCAAGTTGTTTTCTCTTTATTTCATCTCAGTGCTTTCATCTGCTAATTACTAATACTGACATTGATGATAAGAATTGAGAATGAATATCACTCCTGTTGATAGTTTGCAGCTACAAACAAAGTAGCTAATTATTAGAGAGTAACTCCATCTATTTTACACATCAGCATTTGTTTAAATGTCTTGGGAAGCAATGCCGCAAATGTGCAGGAGCAGATGTGCCCTAGAGGTAACTGTGTAAAGACTGATACATTGATGTCATATGATTCAGCCTAGGTAGGGTCTGAACACAAAGAAAAACATTTGTTACGATTATATTTCTTTTAAACTGTTCTTCCTGGGTCCAACAATGTTATAGCAGTCTCCAAAATGCAGTAGTTGAAGGACCTTTCGACACAGGTTCACTCTTTGTGTGAGAGTCTACATACACGAGTGAGTCAGCAGCAGTCAGATGGCTTGTCAGTCGGCATTGAGTTCAACAGCGTGACCGTTTGACGATCAGTCATGCTACTTCCACCCGATTCATCACAGCGGCAGTTTGATGGATCCAAGGTTCACCATGATGAAAATGTGATGCATTTTGAACATTTCCATTTTGTATTTCCATCATTTTTTTATGCATACTTATATTTACACATGCTTATATGTGCGTGTTTGTGTACATGCATGAAAGCTGTTAGGTTTGTGTATTTCCATCTACAGGTGCAAACTTCGTCACATATCCATTTTAGCTGATGATGATTAACTGTAAATCTGTCTCTTAATCTTAAAGTCTGTCACACTTGAGTGTTGCCAACCAGTGCCAAATCCGCCCATCAGGCTCAGATGAAACAGAGTTTATTCACACGGACAGCCAAATCACATCAAACTGAGATTAAGAAAGAGAAGGAAAATATTATTTTAAACCGTTTCAAGAGATTCATATCTAAATGGCTTCTCTTTCCTAGCCCAATTGGCTGAGGCTCACTTGAAGGTTAAACAGGAAGAACAGCGGATGTAGCTTCATCAGTCCAACTGGATATTAGGCGTTCATGTTTACCTTAATTAATGGCGATGTATCCCAGAAAAGGAGGACAACATACAACAACTCCCCTTTACCATCATGACTGTGGATGGAGCCACTCATTTGATTAAAAAAACGCATGATGATTAGTAATGTGCTCCCATGTGGTTATGGGCGATGCAGTTTAACATAATTGAATGGAGAAAGAAGAAGGCAGATGGCTTTTTAACTGATAGGATGATACAGAGAAGCAGGAAAAAAATATAACTGGATATGAGTAATAAGGCATTGCTCGGGCAAAACAGTTTGAAGGAGAACAAATTGAAATAGTCTTTCTGATTAAACTCCGGAGCTCCATCTAAAAATCTGACGTCAATAAGAACCATCTTATGCAGCCAGACTGCAGGTCAGTCAAAGAGAGGCCAATTGGACTCATGACCTATGTGTGAATGCTATGGTCCCAGACTGTGATCACCAATATTCATTAGATGGAGCTTAATATCTCGGAGAACCAAAAGCTTTGTTGTGCACTCGACCTGCTTTTTGAACCCCTTATTGAAAGGTTGTTTTGTTGTTTCTCATGAATTGATTTCAAGTCAAGCTTAGCTTTTAACAAATGTATTAGAGTGGAGCTCAGAATCATTGATGTCTGAGCATCTACATCTTTATTGACACCAAGTGAACTCAATCTGCTTATGAGGACAAAGACGTCCTAAGTCAAGAATTAACCGTCAAGCTTATTTACCTTCTATTTGGTTATGTTACGACCCGGCTCAAAAGGCCAAAACAAAGAGGAGACACACCATGTCGACGGTTAACAAAAGATGTTTAGGACAAACAAATCAAATCAAGTCAAAACCAGTAAAGTATGAGGTGGATGTCAGTGGTATCAGTAATGTAAATGCAGGGTGAGGATTGTATGTACATGTATGTGTGTGAGACTGTTGAAGTGCACAAAGTAAAACAACTGGAGAAACTCATAATATACTCAACAAAACCGGGGTGCCTGCAGGGAGAAGCAGAGAGGGCACATAGAGGATAGCTGCAGGGCACCAGACCCAGGTGCCCTGAGTTACTGCAATCAATGCAATCACCACAGGACAGACAGGACAGCCACCTCCTCTCTACTGATGAACCCACAGGGGCATCACAGATTACAAGAAAAACAAGTAAAAACCAGCATACCTTTCAAATGTGAATGCACCACCACCACTAACGGTCAGATCTTACCTACCAGACAAAAAACATTCCCTGATCACCTTAATATTTGTGGTTTTGAGTGAACAGTGCAGCATCGTTCAGTACAGACGTTAATGCTCTCCACAGTGCATTCTGAATTACCTGACTTTTACTCAGGCAGAACTAACCTCAGACGCCCAGTGTGAGATGAGAGCATTTTCACAATGTTCTCTAATGGTGCATGAAAAGACCATTTTGATCTACTTGTTCATAGACTTCAGACACGTAGTCTTCAGATGTCTTTAAACACACTGTGCACATTATTGACCAGAACAGTGGTTCCCAACCTTTTTTCCCAAGAGCCCCCCCAAATGACTCCTGTTGGAAGTTGCGGGGGGGACGCAACAGCGGAAATTAAAGTTTAAAAGTCTCAAAAATGCTACAACTACTGTCACAAACTGGATGAATGTGAAGTATTTTGTTTAAGGAGGATGAAAGCTAAATCAAGGAGCACTATTGGAGTGACTTTGATGGTTATTGGACTCAGGATTCATTCATTTGGATTCCCGCTGTATGAAGGAATTTAAGGTAGCCACAAGTGGAAACAATTCACAAAGGGATTAAACTGTTTGAAACACATGCTCAAAGTAAGCCAGATTTTGCCGATGTGTTTATGTGGATTCAAAAGTCGTAAATAATCTACAAAATGGAGGAGACCGATCTGATCGGAGCAACTGTGACAAATAATCCAACTGAAACCGGCATGGACAATGACTATGTTTTAAAAATGCGCATTCCAGAAAAGCCCGGTTTGGATACTTTACAGGCAGAAGAAGCATTTCTATTAAAGAAAGAATTATACATTTCTCTCTTTTTATGCCTTTAATAGCTAACTTGAATTTTTATTCTAATTAATTAATTAATTATTTTTTATATTTTATTGTAATGTAGAGACAAGGCTTTTAGTGACAATCATGTATTGCTTTACAATTATATGTAAAACAAAAAGTCTAAATATGATATTTGGCCTCAAATCATCTGAGGCATGGCGACCCCCTGCGATCTTTGCGCCCCCCAGGTTGGGAACCACTGAACCAAAGGATCCTCAAGAATAACTGTGACCTTATAAAAAAGGTTGTTTTTTTGCACTGATAATTACATCTTCTACGCAAGGTACAGTGACACAAGCAGCACATCTGGTATGATTTTAACTATAAAAACACACTCAAATACACTTATTATCATCATCCATCCAAAGCAGGCAACATGGACTGTAATCCCACAAGTTCACAACCATCTGTGTGAATCCTCCCTGAGTCATTCATTGACCCATTTTTCTGGATTGACGTCGGAGAAGGGAACAGCCAAATCTCTCTCTCATCCTTTTATGCTCTTCTGTCCATCACTGACAGTCATCTCCTGTTTCTTTGTATTTAGGCCGAGATAAAATGACTCAACATCGTAACATTTAATGCCAAGTGTGGTCCATTTTCCAATGTGTTAACGTGTGATTCTCACTTCTTTCAAACCGAGACCTAACCAATGTCCCTGAAGTAATGTTTGCTGTTGGTGTGTGGTAGTATCATCTCACGCAGGTTCATAACCCTGGTTTTTACTTGTCCGACTTATCAGGTACAATATAGTGACTTCTGCCCTTTTGGTCTTTAAAGATGTGTCCGCATACAATTCAATTGTGTGCTATATTCTCATACATCTATACTGTATGACGGTCGCAAAATATGTTGGGTTATTGAAACAAACCAACAATGAAACAAAACTACTTGGTTAGGTTAAAAAATAATATCATGGTTTGGCTTTAAGTTGATAAGTGGGAGGCGTGTGGTGCAGTGGATTGTCCGTAGGTGTTCGGATCAAGGGAGCACAGGTTCAAACCCCACTGCAGTCAGCATGTCGTTGTATCCCTGGGCAAGACACTTCACCCCAAATTGCTCCTGCGGGGATTGCCCACAGTATTGAGTATGTAAGTTGCTTTGGATAAAAGCGTCTAACAAGTAACATGTAATGTAATAAGTTTGTTCTGTTATTTGATACACGCGTACATTA